GTGTGGATGTAAATGTGTTTGAGAAGATTGCAGATTCATCGACAGCAAAGGCTGCGTGGGACACACTAGTTAGATGTTATGGTGGTGACGCATCAGTGAAGAAGGTGAAGCTTCAGTCCTTGAGAAAGCAATATGAGAATCTCAACATGAAGAATAATGAGAAAGTCTCTGAATACATCTTCAGAATGATTCTGATCACTAATGAGATGAAGGCGTGTGGAGAAACTCTTTCTGAAGAAGCAATCATGGAGAAAGTATTGAGATCCCTTACCTCTCAATTTGATTACATTGTGGTAGCAATAGAATATTCCAAAGATCTGAGCACCATGAGAATTGAAGAGCTACAGAGCAGTCTAGAAGCGCAAGAGTTGCGTTTGACTGAGAGAACCTCTTAAAAGGAAGTAGAGCAGCAGGCTCTGAAAGCAACTTCTGATAGGAGGTATCAGAAGCAGTCAGAAGTCAGGAGAAGATCTGGTGGTGGTCAGAAGTCAGAAAGCTCAACCTCTGATAGACAAAAGAATGCTTAGAAGGGAAAAGAGAAGTATGACAAGAAGAAGATCCAATGTTACTATTGTAAGAAGTTTGGTCACTTTGCTAGAGATTGTTGGTCAAACAAGGAGAGAAAATCAGAAGAAGCAAATATAGCCAGAAGTTCTGATGACGAATCTGTGCTATTAATGGCCTATGAATCTGATAATATGGATCTGATAGACTGGTGGTATATGGACACTGGCTGTTCAAATCATCTTACTGGAAACAAGAAATGGCTGGTTTACTTTGACTCTGAAAAAAGGACAAATATCAGATGTGATGATGACAAATATCTTAACGCAGAAGGTATGGGAAATGTCAGAGTGATTCTGAACAATGGGAAAACATCATTGATTTAGAACGTGTGGTATGTACCTGGCATCAGAAGAAATCTGATGAGTGTGGGACAATTAATTGTGAAAGGATTTTCAGTTACCATGAAGGACAATCTTCTGAAGTTGTATGACTGCAATCAGAAGTTGATTATGGAGTCAGAACAGGGAAGGAATAGAACATTCAAGGTGAATGTCAGAACTGCAGACTCAGAATGTCTTAGTGCAACAAGTGCTGAGAAGGAGAGTGAGCTGTGGCACAGAAGATTTGGTCATTTGAATTTCAGAAGCTTAAAACATCTGAATTCAAAGAAGTTGGTACATGGAATTCCTGCAATTAAGAAGCCTGAAAAATCATGCAAAGTTTGCATGGACGGAAAACAACCACGATTGCCATTTGCGTCAGAAGCTGCTCAAAGAGCAAAACATGCCTTGGGAGTTGTACATTCTGATGTGTATGGTCCATTTCCAGTAGCATCAATCAAAGGGAATAAATAATTTGTGTTATTTGTTGATGAATTCACAAGAATGACACGGGTATCTCTTATTAAGTTCAAACACGAGGTGTTTGATGAATTCAAGAAGTTCAGAATGAAGGCTGAAAATCAGAGTGGTCAGAAGTTGAAGATTCTTAGAACTGACGGTGGAGGTGAGTATAACTCTAAAGAATTCCAGAAGTTCTGTGAGGAGAATGGAATTGAGCATGAGGTTACTGCTCCTTATACCCCTTAACACAATGGTCTTGCTGAAAGAAGAAACCGCACTTTGCTTGATATGGTGAGAAGCATGCTAAAGGAGAAGAAGCTTCCTTAGAAGCTCTGGAGAGAAGCTGTTGCCACTGCAACGTATGTAATCAAACGTTGTCATACGAAGAAGTTGAAGGAAATAGTTCCGATACAGAAGTGGACTGGAGATAAGCAAAGTGTTAGTCATCGGAAGGTGTTTGGTTCTGTTTGCTATAAACATGTTCCAGAAGCCAGAAGACAGAACCTGGATGATAGAAGCAAAGTGATGATTCTGATAGGGTACCACAGTACAGGTGCATACAAGCTCTATTGTCCAGAAACCAATAAAATTGAATTCAGCAGAGATGTGATTGTGAAGGAATTAGAAGTTTGGAATTGGGATAAGTCTCAATCTGATTCTAATGTTAGAACTTCTGAAGAAAGGTCAGAGTTAAGAATTTCTGAAGTTGGAGTAAACTTTGACGTTGATTCTGACTCTGATAGTGATTCTGACTCTGGAGAAGACTCAGAAGATGAAGGTGACTCTGATGATCCAGACTCTGATGGTAATCCAGATTCTGGTGGCAATTCAGACTCTGAAGATGGCCAAGGCTCTGGAGGAAGTCAAGCCTCTAAAGCTAGAAATTATGAAGTTTAAGACTCTAGAAATATGCCAGACCCTGAAGATGGTCAAAGCTCTGGAGGAGGTCAATCATCTGAAGCTCAAGACTCTGAACAAGTTCAGAGACCACAAAGAATCAGAAACATTCCCAGAAGATATGCAGAATTTGACATGCTGCAAGACACTGAAGTAGACTCTGAAGGAGAAGTTATTCAGTGTGCCATGATAGCAGACTCTGAACCCATAAGTACAGAAGAGGCTCTTAAGCAGAAGCTCTGGCTGAAGACCATGAAAGAAGAACTTGATGCTATAGAGAGAAACAAGACTTGGAAGCTGACAGAACTTCCAAAAGACAAGAAAGCCATCAGCGTCAGATGGGTTTTCAAGCAGAAGTTAAAGCCAGATGGTTCAATTGGCAAACATAAAGCAAGGTTGGTAGCCATAGGATTTCTACAGAAACCTGGGCTGGATTACTCTGAAGTGTTTGCACCTGTAGCAAGACATGAAACAATCAGAATGGTGATTGCAATAGTTGCTAACAGGAATTGGCCTCTGATGCATTTAGATGTAAAATCTGCATTTCTGAACGGTCCATTAGAAGAAGAAGTTTACGTGTCACAACCTCCTGAATTTGTGAAAAAGAATCAGGAAGGGATGGTGTATAGATTATACAAAGCTCTATATGGATTGAAACAAGCGTCCAGAGCTTGGAATCAGAAGATTGATTCATTTTTCAAGAAGCAAGGCTTTCAAAAATGTGAGATGGAGTACGGTGTTTATGTTCAACATACTTCTGAAGGCAATATGACTCTGGTATGTTTATATGTTGATGACATACTGCTGACTGGAAGTTCTGAACAGGAGATAGCCAAGTTCAAGAAAGTTCTGATGAATGAATTCGAAATGACTGATCTAGGCAAAATGACATACTTTCTAGGGATGAAGTTCAAATATTCTGAGAAAGGTATCATTTTGCATCAGCTCAAGTATGAATTAGAACTTCTGAAGAGATTTGAACTGAAGAATTGTAAGTTGTTGTCACACCTTCTGATACAAATCAGAAACTGGATTCTGACTCTGATGGAAAGGATGTGGATGCTACAACCTTAAACAGTTGGTTGGTTCTCTGAGGTATCTGTGCAATACCAGACCTGATATTTGCTATTCTGTTGGGATGGTTAGTAGGTTCATGAGTAAACCTAAGTGGTCCCATTACCAAACTGCTGTCAGGATTATGAGGTATATCAAGGGAACTCTGAAGTATGGAGTGCCATTTCCTTCTGGAAGAAAGAATGAGTCAGGACTTCTGAGTTATTCAGATTCTGATTGGCGTGGAGACAGAGTTGACAGAAGAAGTACCTCTGGGTACTTGTTCAAATTTCTGGGAGGTCCCATTTCTTGGTGTTCTAAGAAGCAACTTGTTGTGGCGTTATCAACCTGTGAAACTGAATACATTGCAGGTGTTGTTACTGCATGCCAATCTGTGTGGATTCTAAATCTGTTGCAGGATTTGAAGATTAAAATAAACAAACCTCTGAAGTTGATGATTGACAACAAGTCTGCAATCAATCTTGTCAGAAACCCAGTGTTGCATGGGAGAAGCAAGCATATTGAGACCAAGTATCATTTTCTGAGACATCAAGTTCAGAGTGGAGTGTTAGAAGTTGTACACTGCAGCACTCAGAAACAGTTGGCAGATGTTCTGACGAAAGCTATCAAGACTGATCAATTTCTCAGACTAAGGGATGAAATTGGTGTTACAAGTTTTGATGGAATATGAATTAAGGGATGATATTAGAAGTAATTCATATTTATTAGTTGTACTATTTTCTTAGCCCATAAGTTTGTTAGAGGGTATTTTAGTATTTTTATCTTATTCTAGTAACCCTAGTTTTAGCTTATAAATAGGGTAGCAATCATTGCAATTTGTGTGGTTGTGTGTAGCCGTCATTCTCTTAATAGAATATTTCTCTATTCATCATTTATTCTACCTTTGTACCAACACTCGCAAACAATGGATCTATGGTTTTACGTCATAGATTTTGTTGATTGTGTATTAAGAAATGCCCAAATGTAAGAATTTCAAATCACATGGGCAAAAGGTGTATTAACCCAATAATCATTCATTTACCTCACATATGATTCAACATTTCATTCTTCACAAGTTTTATGGAAGAGAAACATGTTTTTATCTCTTACAATTATCACAGACAAAATCATGTTTTTATCTCTTATTACAATTATCACTGACAAAATCAGATCTAACAAACAGTTTTACATTGAATAAAAATATATGAAGAAGATGCGCAGAGATGACATATATTCCAAAGAAAAAGAAACAGAGAACTTGCTAACTTGTCAAGTGATAATATGAACAAATCTAATTAATATACACAGTTGAAATCCTTCATAAACAAGTGCATTATACAGTTTCTTTCAAAAGAAACCGAAAAACAAAAAGAATAAACGAGACACAGCATACCAAGTCCCAATGCTACTTCTACTATACATGAACTAACATGTGACTTTAATTCCTCTAGCCTCAAAACGGATTTTTTCCATCTGAAAAATGTTCTGAAGTGAATTTCAATTTTGGGCTCCGAAAACCGTACTTTCCTCTTTCTTTTGGAATGGATTGATCACATTTTCATGAGTGTTTTTCTTCAATCTCCGGTGCACAAAAATGCTCGTTTCTCCCCACGAAACGATGCTTGTCATACTTGCAGATGTTTATTCCATTGGTATCTTCACGGATCTTTGACCCTTTCTATATATGTATTGCCATGTCGTTCATCCACCTCGTTGTTTCTTAAGTTGTACGCGAGCCTCCAACATAGCCCGATTTAGTTCCTCGTCTTCTGGTGTCTCTCTTAACAAGATCTCATAGTCTGCTATTGAAGCTTCCCATCTTTCCAACTATAATCAATTTCGAAGTATATCAACATCGCACATATCATATAAACAGATATGTCTTAACAATTTAAAATATTAATTAAGTTCTGTGAAACATTTATATGAATTACCTTTGCATTACAATCAGCTCTTCTCATCCTTGCTTTGGTGTAAGATGGGCGCAAGCTAAGTGCCGCAGAGCAATCTTCCACCGCTTTCTCTAATTGGCCGAGTTTTAATCTACAAGCTGCCCGATTGCATAGTAAAACCGAGTTACACGGATCATTCTCAAGCCCTTCTCCATAAGCAATACAAGCCTCAGAGAATTTCGATGCCTTGAAAAGCTCGTTTCCTCTGCCTCTTGCAGCTGTCACGGCTCGAGCTTTTCTCAACACCTTCATTGCTTCCTTGTTGTTTGAATCTAGCCTTGTTGCTTTCTGTGCTGCCTCCAAAGCATCATCAAATCTGATAACACAGTATTTAATTATTGTGATTTGTCAACTTACAATGTTTTTTTGAAATCATTGATAGAAACTAAATAAGTACTAGTACTAATTACCTGCCAGCAGCGAGATCAACTTGAGCGCGCGTGACTAACAAATTTGCATTACTAATTGGTCCGAAGAACTTTGTACAATCGTCAACATCAAAATTAGGACTCTTTGACATTACATTGTCAGCATCATGATGCCTACAGAGTTTTATCAAAGCTTCGGCTTGCAACGCAAATATCTTAGAAGGCCAAAACCAGTTTCAAAAATCAGGACATAATCAGTTGAAACTTGAAACATAACATGTATATGCGTGTCAGTGTGTGTGAGAGAGATATACATTAAAATAATAGCTTTATATTGAGGCATTGCAACTGCCATTTTACTGCAATATAAAGACTTGGTGGATAACTGCTAAGGTGACTCTACGTAACCGCTATTTAAAACCATAAACTAAAATAGTGGTTGGTTAGATGATATCATATACAAGCCAATTAATAAGTAATGGGTACCTGTGGAGCTGAATCTGCACCAGATGATATAGTGTTGGACGCCTCAGTGATGAGTGTGTTCCAATCTCCTAACCTGCGAGCCTCGGTGCATTTATTTAGATGAGCTTGAATAATCTTCACTTTAGCAACCTCGTCCAGATCAGCCTCTGGTCCCGCTTGTTTATAATGATAAAGAGCCTTATCTGTTTCGCCTAGTCTGCAATCAACAATAAACACGCGCTTTCAATCACTCCCTCAGATCTTAAATATAAGCAAACAAAACTACATGTATTTGGCAACAAAACCAAAATTAATATTGCATAGTTGCATACATATACCTACCTTAAATGCAAATTTCCTAAACGATGATGAGCTCGATGATAATGAGGATCAATCTGAATAGCTTCCCTACATTCAAACACAGCTTCAAGAAGCCTACCAAGACCCGTTAAAGCCGCACTTCTATTACTTCTATACGGAGCCTTCTTAGGATCAATTGATATAGCCGCGTCATACAACGCTAATGCCTCCGCAAATCTTCCATTCTTATAATCCTCATTCCCCATTATCTTCAACTGTTCTGGATCCATTCTAGTCGATATAGCCCTACAAAGAGAACCACCACCTGAATTCATCGATGGTTTCGTTTCATTATCAATACTCGCCACCTTCTTCTTGTGTCCTCCTCCTCCTCCATTTGAATTCGAATTTTCGAAATACTGGTTATAATTATCCATTGCAACCGAATAACTATCATCTTGATTTCCATGCCTAATATTACCCAAATTCCCAAACAACATAACATTGCTAGAAGAAGCGCGAACGAGATTACCACTCCCCTTCGATTTTTGATGATCATTGATCATACTTTCTAACTCGCCTGAAATTCCAATAGCTTCCTTTTGTACCCTCCTTCCTTGATTAACATACCCCTGAGTAGCTTGAGTAGAAGGTGAAATAGAAGCCTTCTGAGCAGGAACAACGCGTTGTGGCATTGTGGTTTCGTTTTGGTTTTTTCTCGGCGGATTATTATTATTATTAGTATTAGTATTATTTGATGAACAAGTAGACTTCGAAACAGACCGCGCAGTCGAACTATTGCGCGAAGGTGGATCGACGTAAACAACGTCTTTAGAACCACTTCGACGTCGTTTTTGATCATTTGCAGCATGGTTTGGTAATGGAAGAGACTTCGCGGAGGAGGATATTCTCCTTGGCCATAAACCATGTCGTCCGAATCCAAATACGTTTGTTATTAATCCACAACCTACTTTTTTTTCTGGCGAATTGTCTCCCATTTTTTATACAACCTTCAAGGGTTTAAACACATGGAAACTTTAGAATCCAAAATGTTGCAGAGCTGAAGGTTGCAGGGACGATCATGGAGGAGAATAGAGGACGCAGGTTAGGTGTTTGATGAAATGCGAAGGTTGAAATTGTAAGAGTTTGTGCTTTTGATTTTTCCTCGTCCCTGAATTCTGTAATTTTTTGTTGGATAGTCTTAGGGAAAGGAAAAGCAACAAATTCGGTCGTTGGCTTAATAAGGATATCGATAATTTTAGAAATGACATTTCATTTAGAAAACAATCACAAAGATACGGAAAGAGAATGGATTTCAGCTTCATAAGTTTCCAGCTGTAACATGCCAAAATATATGTCGTTTAATAATATTGAATAAGTATTTGTTTTATTAATTTTTATATATCTGATGTGTCATTTAACTCTGATGTGTTTATTAGCTGATGTGTCATTTAACTTTGCATCAATTTCAACCTCAAGCTCAAGCAACCGCCACGGCTTCATGATCATCCTATCTTGGTAACTGTAATTCTGAGGGACATAATTTCGGTTTTGATGACATCTTTTGTCCATACGATAACTTTACTAACGAGGATTCTTCTAGCGTCACTCACATCGATTTCAGTATGGTAATATACCCACCAAGGTTCTTGATCCTTTTGGTAGATAGGTTCATGTATTTTACTCTTTTTTGGATGATTTCAGAATTTGAGTCTCGTCCTTTGGATGAAAAAGTTAATTGCTTTTAATGAGGACCTTGATTAGGAATTGTCCTAAGAACTTTTTATGGAAACTGTGTGATATCACTCAAAATAGTGATTTATCAATCTTTTCATCACCGGTAAAACATGAAACTGTAATCTGTTTTTATTTTTGCTTTACTTAAATATTATTGAAGAAGATTATGGTAAAAAGGAAGTGATTTTTATTAACTTTTTTGGGCAGGATTTTCACGTTTCGGGGATGATGAAAACATCAACATTTCTTGCCACAGTCATTAGTACACCTGAAGGTTCTTTTAGCCAAGATGTTAATGCAAAAACAGTTGAGAAAAGTATGAAACCATGTACTGACAGCCAAGATGTGTTATGTTTCAGTGATAGATTCTGCACAATCCTTCCCAATTGCCAATGGATGGAATGATGAAATTTAGATTTCGCAAATTGAAAATTTATTCTTTTATTGTTTTTTTAAAAATATAAAATATAATAACACAAATATTTATTAAGTTCCGTTAAATGACACATCACCGTTGTTAGTGTCATATAAATTTTTTTTTTAAAACGGAATTTGTGAAAAAGGTCAACGATAAACATGTTAATTAACTTAAAATATTAATTTGTAATAAAAAATATGAAAAATTGCCTTATCAATAAAATAATTTAAAAGATTTAAAGTATATTTTTTATCGATGTAAAAATGTGTAAAATACTCGTAAAACATATCATTAATAATATCTTTGAAAAATTGTACTTTTGATAATTGTTTATAAATATATGTATATAAATCTTTTTGTGATATAGCTTTTGAAGAATTAAAATAAAAAAGTTCATGTTTTATATTTATGCTTATTTAAAATATATTTAAATAGATGATTCTAATGATCATTTGTGATATATAATTCTTGATGAGCTAAGAGTTAATATTAAGAAAACAATTGCTCAAAGATTACGATTTTTCTTAATTATTATTCACGAAAATTATTTATATACTTTTTATAGAACTTAAAATTATCATTAAATGATTGCTCAAAGAATGACTCTTTTGTTTAATGTTTATGAAATAATCATTTGTTTAATAATGAGTGAGAAACAAGGAAATTTTAATTACTTTATAATTTTATTATATTTGATAGTATTTAAAATTTAATAGTGATTTCACTCTCTCTAATATGACAATTTATTTTATTTGGTAATTTTATTCTTAAATTTTGTTTTCATATTAAATATGCTCTATATTTTTATGTCTTATAAGTAAAAAAGAGTTGTTTTGATTGTAAATTTATTAAGATTAAAACATATTTATTTCATAACTGTATGTTATTAGTTTATGATTAATTTATTAAAATAAAAAAATAATTTGAGATTAATATTTAATACAATAGATATTTACTTATTTATTTATGATATTGTTATATTTTAAAGATAAATTTTAATAGTAATTTGAGTTATTAAATTATTTTATTTAAATATTCACATGTATTATTTCATTTAAATTCTAATTAACACATATTTAGTTTATTTTATTTTAATTTAATTTATAACTATATGTCTATATGTTTTATTTTGTTATATTTGTCAACAAAGTTGGTGTTTTGAAGTTTGTATGTAATATTTGATGTATATATGATTAAGAAGAAAAATGTTAATCAAATATTTAGAATATCTATTGGATTAAATATGTTTGAACTTTGAAGTCCTTCTAAATGGACCAAAATTTATTTTTATTCTAACAAAAACTTTATTTCAAACAATCACCCACCTAATGTTTTCCATTTATACTTTTGATCGTTATTATTAATGTTTGATGTGGCAATGTCAGCCCGACAAAGATGCTAACATGGATGTCGTGTGGCATTTGTTACTATTTTACATTATTGATATAAGCTAGAATGATGAAAATTTTGTCAATAAATCTGTCGCTAAGATAATATCATACATAAATCAAAAAAAGATAGTTAATTTGTAGCTAATCCGCATCTAATACATAGCTAATTCAAACCCCTATTTCTTCCATTTTTTCAACATAAAGATATGCTTATAATTGTAACACTTCTGTATTCTTTAAATTATTTATTTTATTAAATTTAAGTTTTATTTATTTATTTAAATAAATTTTATATGCATTGGATTAATTATTTGGTGTGGTGGCATGTTTATACTATGTTGGGATAGGTAGGGAAGTGTTGCTATTTAATTAAATGATTAGATAACTAAATAATATTAAAATTAAATTGAAATATAAGTTTTGGGTGGAAAATAGAAGTAATGAGGAAAGCAAGATAAGTGGTGAGAATCATAATAAGTTGGGACCAATATGCAATTATTAAAAATTAAATTAGTTTTTTTTTTAATAAAAGGCGATTAGAAGATTTAAGGGTATGCAGTATTTTTTTTTTTTTTTGGAGAAAAGGAAAAGTGAGAACAAGGGTCTGGGTAGAATCACCATAGCTAAAGCTTAGAGTTGCTGTTGAAAATCCAAGGTAAGACAGAGGGATTACTCTAAATATGGTGCTAATTGCATGATGGATAAGAAGAAGTCCTTAATCTCTATTAAGTTTTTTCCTATTTTCTTTCATTGTTGATTGTTTGATGATATGGATAAAACTCTTATGATAATGCGATATGATTGTTGTAATTAATCATGAATTTCGCATATTGGTTTAACATGAAAATTAGATGTTTGTATTCATAATAGTGGTATGAGTTATGTTCACATTTTGGCATGAATGTGATAAATAAATTATTAAAAATGGTGATTAATTGAAGAGATTGCATGTTAATTGATAGGTATATGATGCTATAATGAATACATGTGATTTTTTTGAGGTTTATAATGTGATTTTTTTGAAGAGATTGCAGAGTTTTGAACTGAACGCCATAGCAGAACACAAAATGTGCTTCTGCAACCAGATGACGAGCGTCATCTGCGTGACAACCAGGTCATCATGTGCCTTAGGACGCTTATGGGTGTCAGCGGTCTGACGGGGATACCATCATGGTCTCCAGGAAAGCGTGGAGCCTTGTCGGTCGTCACAAGGGTGATAGTTGGGGAAAAAGAGTGATGGTGTGCGTTACCCTGGTGATGAGCTACCCGCCATCATGTAAATGGGTGCTTTTTGGCCTGGTAAGTTGGATTTTTTGGTGTTGTTTTGTCGTGCGGTTAATGTTTGGCTGCTGATTAGGGTGTTCTGGCGTATTTGGTTGATTAATTGACTTTTTTGATTAATCTAATGATGTTTAATTATGTTGATGATGTGATAATTATGTGATGAACATATAACTGAGATTTTGGTGGGTAGTTCAGTTCTGGGGACTACTTTGATGTTGTTATTTATAGTTAGATGTGGAACTGTAAATTTGTTATTGAGTTGTTATGGTTATGCATTATATTGTACATGCATCATATGTTGTCGTTGTTTTGAAAGAGACGAGTCACAAGTTCAAATATTAGGACTATTGATTTGTCTCGAGCTCATATTAGGGGGATCAGTTTCAGATGTTAGGACCCGATTCGTATGAAAAACCTTTGTTGAGTTGGTACCACATGCACGAGCTGAGTCGTTGTTAGATGCCAAACTTTGCTTATTTGATCTATCAAATGTTGGCATCTTTCATTCTTTTTGTAGGTGAAAGTGATTAGAATCACTCTTGTTTTTGATGATATGTTTCATTGTTGGAAAATGTCTTGGTTGCTTTGATTTATGTGTTATTGTGCAGGAATTAGGCACAAAACAAGTGAATAGTAAGACATAAGAAATTGGGCAAGGAAACCAAGACAGCAGAAAAATATCATAAAATTCGTCGTGCAGAGCTCCCAACGAACTTCCCCAAAAAAACATCAAAACTTTCGCACAGCGAACTTGCCAACGAAGGCCTTGGAGAGCATGGTACTGTTCATCCGGAGAGAAAAGAGACTGAAACTCGTTATGCGAAGGAGCTAGCGAATGGTTCGCTGGAGCGAAGGAGAAGCGAAGTCCTAGCGAATAGCCCCAGACATGAGGCAGTAACTATTTGGAGGAGAATTCGCTGTGCGAAGGTTGCAGCGAAGCCTTCATAGTGTGAAGGATTTCTCGCACAACGAATATGTGGAAAAGTCTCAAGGGCAGTTTAACTGTTCAGAGGCACCTCAGGTGCCTAATTAGATGTTCGCTAGGCGAAGGATCTGTTCGCAGTGCGAACAAGACAGATCCTGAATGTACTATATAAGTATTTTTCTTATTTTTTTAGAGGAGGATATAATTTTTACATCAGAACTTATCTCTCTTCATTTTCAAGTT